GGAAGGAGATACTTGTTCTTAATGGTCACCTTATTAAGCTGTCGATAATCAATACAGAGACGCATTGGTCCATCCTTCTTCTTAACAAATAACACCGGAGCTCCCCAAGGTGATACACTTGGTCGAATAAATCCCTTTCCTAACAACTCTTGCAATTGATTCTTTAACTCTTGCAATTCTTTCGGAGCCATCTGATAAGGTGCCATTGCAATTGGAGCGGTTCCTGGCATTACTTCAATTTGAAATTTTACCTCTCTATCTGGAGGTAATCCTGGCAACTCAGCCGGGAAAACTTCAGGGAATTCTTGAACTATTGGAATCTCTTCTAGCCCTTTCTCTATCACTCTTAAATCTATCACATTTGCAAGAAATCCTTGACATCCTTGTAGCAATAGCTTCTTAGTTGACATTACTGACATTACATTTGCTAAGGGATTAAACTTTTAACTGCTCACACTTATCTCTGTTCCTCCTGGACTTTTCAGGGTTACCTTTTTCAATCTGCAATTAATATCTCCATAGTAACGGAACAACCAATCCATTCCCAGAATCACTTCAAACTCGTCAAAGGGTAATTCCATCAGATTAGCAGGGAATTCAATTCCCTGAACCTTTATGGGACACCCCTTACAGACTTTATTCACCCGAGCACAATGGCCTAAAGGATTTGTTACTATAATCTCATTACTCGTAGCTTCTAAGGGAATCCTCAATTCCTTTAATAACTTACTTGTAATATAAGAATAATTAGAACCCGGATCAATCAGTACCAATACTAATTTATCGTACAGCTGAAAAGTACCTGCTATAATATCAGGGTCATCAAGGTCTTCACTTGTCTTTAGATGGTACACCCGTGCGGTTGACCGAACTTCAGGTTGAGCAGAGAATTCAGACGGGTTCCTTCCTCTGCCTCTTTCTCGTCCTCTTTGTGAGGAAGAACTAACTCTTTCAGATGATGCAGGCTCACCAACCATCAATGGATAATCCCGGATAAAATGTTCGGCATCTTCGCATCGATAACAAGTCCCAGCAGCCATCCAACAAGCCCCAAAATGGTTTTTCCCACAATGTTGACACTGTCTCGCTTGACTCGGAGTAGATCTCCCAACACCAGATCCCACTGACTGCGTCTATCTAGGTCTTGCCTGACTTGCTCCCCTAGCAGACGATGCAACTGATTCTGATCTAGCTTGTGATCGAAATCCTGAGTCTCTTCCCCTTTTTGATGGTGCTGAGCTAGAATAAGAACCCGTTCTCTTTGATGTTTGAACTCTAAAATCCCCAAATCTCTCATTCTGAGCTCTTTCAAGAGCCTTGGCATGATTGATCACCTCTTTGAACGAGGACAAATTCAATACTATCAGCATCTCTTTCAATCTAGGGCGCAAACCCTCCACAAATCATTCACAAGCCTCTTTTTCAGTAGGCACAAGCTCGGATGCAAACCTACTCAACTTGTTGAACTCACATTCATACTCATATACAGAGCGGTTCATCTGTTTCAAATTCAAAAACTCCTGCTTCATCTGTCGAATAAATTGATCTCCAATGTACTTGTTTTTAAATTCATCTAAGAATAAAGACCAAGTCAATTGGTCACTGGTTATCCTCATGGTGACGTTCGTCCACCATATTCTCGCCTGACCCCTCAACAACGAGACAGCTCTATCTAACTTCTCCACTTCAGAACATTGGAGACCATCCAACATGATTTTTAAGTCATTTAACCAAAGATCCACCGCAACCGGACCTTCTTCGGTTTCTCCCTTAAATTCGGGAGCTCCTAAACCTCTCAACTCTTTTGCTACATTCATCCTTTGAGTTGGTGGAGCAGGAGGTTGAAGACGCATTAGAATAGCGTCTAACGTTCTGAAGAACATATCTTGATCTTGCACAGGCACTCCTTGAGATGCTTGTTCTTCACCTTGCCTGGCCAGGGCAGGTGAATTACTGCTTTCAGCATGCCTATCTTCTCCCGTTTCACTTCGGGAGCTATTATGTTCGGACATCTAATAAGAATAAACACATTGTTCTATTAGCAAAACAGCATACTCATACTATACCAGATCAGAAGTTCTCACTATTTGTTGGCATGTATTCCATTTAAAGACTCTATAGACTCTGGTTTATGCCTAGAATCGGCTAAACCATAGCTCTGATACCATTAAATGTAACACCCCCAACCCGTATCCAACCCGGATACGAGTCAGAGATATTACATTGACTTTTAAAACACAACTCTTACAATTAATAGCAAAATACTTGAACTTATATTAAGAAAAATACAATAATATACATATATTTATACAAGTTTATCAAAATACTCAGAGCATACACAACTTAACCCTTCAGTTACATGCCAACATCCCTTTTCATAACAAAATGACCTACTGATTAAGTTGCTTCTGATCTGATAGTTGCAGGAGTAATGTTGTCCAGCTGCTTAACCTCGATCGTCTACTTTATCGGATCCTACGTGTGAAACACTCACACGCTAAGTCATCGACTTAGTGAGGCAATATAATAATAATATCGATAAATATAAAGTAATTGCCAAAATAAGATGGGTTGCAATGATAAGATGTATGTAAACAATGCAATAACCAGAACCATGTTTCTTACACATATACTTATCAAATTCACATTCATAAGTTCGCCTTAGTAAGTTCATTAGCCCATGGTACCATACAGAGAACCTAAGGTATGTGAGTATTGTGAGGTTGTGCACTATGCTGTTACCACAGCTCATATAATTGCACCTAAGTGCCACGTAGAATTGCACCGGAGTGCCACGTAGAATTGCACCGTAGTGCCATATAATAATGTCCATAAGGACCACATATCATTCTTTAAGAATCATATACATATGCCAAGGATCAAGTATGTGTCTCACCAGACCTCACACATGTTCCAAAGAATACATATATGTCCCGAAGGACCACATATCATTCCTTAAAAATCATATACATATGCCAAGGATCAAGTATGTGTCTCACCAGACCTCACACATGTTCCAAAGAATACATATATGTCCCGAAGGACCACATAGACCCTCTACCCTTGGCATGCCAACTATACCTATAGTTCTCATTTACATAACATGGGCTTTCACAATTTATCTTATTTGTATCACGTAGACATATTATTTTCATACCTTTATCACATAACTCATATAACTTTTTCTTGCATATTCATGTCCCATAATGCATATGGTATGGATTCATGTCATATATCATAATATGAAATACTATCATGTATCAAAATATTGAATCTAGACTTATCATAAGTCTAGAACTGAATAAAATACATATTCATGCTATGCATATGAACTCACCTAGATTTCTTTGTCTTTCCCTCGATTGATCCTACTTGTCGATGGTTCCGGAACTCGATTAGGCTCAATATCTACATAAGCAAAATTTTCAAGATGATTATCAGATGCCTAAGTCTTGAAATTAACCTCTAATAGCCTACCAATTTAAGGGATTAATAGTTTAGTCTCTCTTCTTTCTTCTTTTTTTTCATTATGGGGGAATCGGTTCCCCCTGGGGTATCGATTCCCCTCTAGCATTCTGGAAATTCATATTCGTTTGAGGGGGGGTTGATTCTCCTTGAATGGGTACCGATTCCCCTAGCCCAGAAATCCCATTTTGAGCTCGAAAATCACCTTATTTCAGCTCAAACCTTCCTATTTCACTTCCTTTAATACTCCTAACTTTAATACACATACTTAAACTTATTTCTATTCCATAATCACTTCTTTAACTCCAAATCTAGTCATTCTTATGTAATTGCAAAAATTATACTAGTTTTGCAACATGTTCAAATTCCTATTCTAACACTTCCTATCCCTTAATTAACTTGATGACAAGTCAAATCTCACTTCCAATTCTTATTATGAACTCTAATCTAAGATTTCATTTTTCTACTTCCTTTCTTTAATTCTTCATATACTTCCCATCTTGAGGTTTTAAAACAATTTAAACTTCTTTTAAGCTTAACTATTACCTAATGGTCATGAATCAACCATAAATTCATCAAGAAATTCACTAACAAGAGAATCTTACCTTAGCTTGGGTCTCACGTATGAAGAAGAAAGAAAGAAGAAGAGGACTCTAGAAGCTTGTTTTTAATTTCCTATACTTCCACGTGGTTAATATAATACTAACCCCAATAATTATATTGCTATAAAAAGACCATTTTGTCCTTCTAATCTTCCTTCTTTATAATTCAATCCTACACAAAATAACTCAAATAAGTCATTGAACTTTTCCATCATTCTACTTTAAATCACCAAATGCTGAAACTTTACAAATTAATCACTAACCCGGCATGGAGGATGTTACAATAAGAAATATAAGACTTACCCCCTCATCGAAATAGCCATTGTCTTCAACCCCTAATAATTAACCCCACGAAGACCGTTCAATCAATAAATGCATATCATTGTTGAGTTTGTATATGTCAGTGTAACACCCTTGGCTCCGCTCATGTAGATAAAAATCAACTGCGGTCTTAGCCTAAAGGGTATTATCCAGAATTGTTTCTGGTAGTTGTTTCCTCTCCACTTCATCTGTCGGAATGGTACTGGCCGGTAACTTATACGAAAGCCAACAGTCATCCATCATGTCCCGCACGTGAGGGGGCTTCTCAATAATTCGATATATTACGCCGTGTGAATCGGGCTCTAGAATGTTGGGAGGGACCTCTTCAACGATGACAGTGGCCTCTTGAACGGTGGGAGGGGACTCTTGAGGGATGATAGGGGCCTCTTGAACGATAGGGGAGGCCTCTTGAACGATGGCAGGTGAGTCGGGCTTTTTCTTACGGATTCTTCGCACTATTGGGGTGAACGGAGACGTAATGGCACGTGCTCGCCATCTGATGCGTGAACTCCATCTTGCAAGAAAAACCCGACGTAGAGCATCCACCTTAGCGGGCCGCTAAAAATAAATTAATACATAAATCAGTAAATAAACATACATGATATTAAACAGTGAGAACAAAGACAAATATATTTCAAACTTGCACGGTATTCACCCAAGTCATTATTATATCATTGTTCACAAAATGCATCAAATAACATTCCAGAAGTAAGCACTTATATAAACATTTAAAATGACAACATATAGGTTTAGTGCAGGTTCAATGACAACATAAAGAGTAGTAGTTTATTCTTGAAACTAAAATTTTCAACACTGTGAAGTTAGTATTTGTCTTTTGGTTGAAGTAATACAATTCATTCAAGTTTCAATTGGCAGAAGAATAATAGAAACTGAAACTTAAAATCGCAACGCGAAAATGACTATCGCAACGCGAAAATGACTATCGCAATGAGAGAATCGCAATGCGAAATGAAAATCGCAACAACAAAATCGCAACGCGAAAATGACTATCGCAATGCGAATTTGACTATCGCAACGAGATAATCGCAATGCGATTTTCATTTCGCATTGTGATTCTTTCGTTGCGATAGTCAAATTCGCATTGCAATAGTCATTTTCGCATTGCGATAGTCATTTTCGCATTGCGATAGTCATTTTCGCATTGCGATTCTCTCGTTGCGATAGTCATTTTCGCGTTGCGATAGTCATTTTCGCGTTGCGATAGTAAACTATTCTTCTTCTGCAAATTGAAACTTGAATGGATTGCATTACTTCAACCAAAAGACAACCAAAAACAAATACTAACTTCACAGGGTTAATGAATAAACAGTTAAATAGTATTGTCAGCAACCGAATGAATTTACTAAGCAATCTAAGTGAAATTACGAGTAAATTTATCATCAAGTTAAATATGAAAAATACTAAACTTACCTCGTTGCGTAGAGTATGAACCTCGTTCTGCAATAATGCTACAATCTCACGTAGAGCTGCTACCTCACCACGTAAAGTAGACACCTCAACACGCCATGCACCACTGTTATCGCGTAAAGTACCGACCTCCTCACGCAAGGCATTGACCTCATTACGTAACTCCCCTAACTCATCCCGTGGAGGTGGAGGTGGAGGTGGAGAACAGGGAGATAAACGTCGTGGCATCTTTGTCGGTCGCCTATCATGAGGTGATGGTGGAGAAGAGGCTCGATGATGTGACAGAATAGGTGATGACTCTCGTTGTGGAGGTGTATATTCGGGTCGATCAGGTGATGGCTCTGGGTGAGGTGATGGCTCTCGAAGTGGTGGTTGCACATCATCTGTGCCATAAAAAAAAGCTTACTAGCTTGCCACCAATCAGTGGCAAGCTCAGCTTCCGTGGGCGTCAGCCTCTGTAATGGAGTGTTGGCCTCCTAACAATATAAAAGCTCAAACAAAGTTAAACGTGTACTAGTAATAACTTGTTTATAAACATATGGTAGTATTTGTGTTAACTTACATTATTTATTGTAGTATACGGTAGTAAATCTTCCCATTGCTGCAAGGACCGTTTCCTCTTCCAGGAAATAGCCCTAGGAATATCATTAGAAGTTTTTAATGCATATGTCTGCATGGCGGGAAAGGCCTCAAATATCCAAATCTACAAACAATATAATAACAAACATTAGTAATTGTTAAAGAATTAATTATAATTTTGGAAACATTATATAAAAATTATTACCTTAAAGGCCCAAATAAAGCCTGACAAAGTGTATTTGGAACCATCGCCACGCAAACTTTTCCGATCATTAAAGGCAGACGACAACTTATTCCATGTAGCTCTTCATAGATACGAACCCCACGGAAACAAGTTCCATGCATTTAGGTCCTCTACCAATTTAATTAGATCATTAGGAATAGGTTGTCGGGCCTCTCTGCCTAAAAAGCCGGCTTGCAAAAGTATTAGAATGCATACTCGGACAACATCGACGTCATCCATCCGAGTAAAACCATCTTTCTTATTCAATAATCTCGTCAAGTCTTCCACGTGTAAATTCGACTTCTCCGTTGACTGCTCAGGAAAAACCCGGGAAAACCATGATAGGCGGGTAATATGTCTAGTGTACCGATCTACATCATCGTGTCCGAAGCGTAGACCGGTGATTAAGCAAAACTCCTCCCGCCCAAAACACGTATACGCCGGTGGAAAATCAAACCATATCACTTCATCACGACGTTGTATAGTCTCTGGTAGATCGCTAGTCATAGTTTGAAGAAACAGATGGGTCAACATAGCATCTCCACCCGGATGTTGTACTTTCAGCCATGGCCCGAATCAAGTATCCTCAAATATTTTTCTTTGTGCAGGTGAAAGCTTCGACGCAATTGTTTTGGCCAGGCTTACTTTATTTCTTAAGGTCAATTGAGCCGAATAAAAGTTATGCAAAAACAATAAACATACTAATTTAGATATACCAAAAACTACACTGTGAAGATATGAACAATAAACATAAAGAGTAGTAGTTTATTCTTCAAACTTAAATTTGCAACACTGTGAATTTAGTATTTGTTTTTTGGTTGAAGTAATGCAATTCATTCAAGTTTCAATTTGCAGAAGAAGAATAGTTTCTGAAACTTTAAATCGCAACAGGAAAATGAAAATCGCAACACGAAAATGACTATCGCAACGCGAATTTGACTATCGCAACGCAAGAATCGCAACGCGAAATGAAAATCGCATTGCGATTCTCTCGTTGCGATAGTCAAATTCGCATTGCGATAGTCATTTTCGCGTTGCGATTCACTCGTTGCGATAGTCATTCTCGGTTTCAAATACTAAAATTGAAAGAAACTTGAATGGATTGCATTACTTCAACCAAAAGATAAAACAAAGACAAATACTAACTTCACATGGTTAAAGACTAAACAATTTAGCAGTATTGGCAGCAATCGAATGAATATAATAAGCAATCTAAGTGAAATGGTTAATCTATTATTGAAAACACCAGTAAACTTATCATCGATTTCAATATGAAAAACCTAATAATAATGTAAAAATTTCATAATTAAAATAATTAAAAAAAGAGAAAATCGCCTCAGTGACCAAAAAAAAGTTATAATATACGATTTTAACCAACTTTTTTTGGATTTGCCAAAATGACCAACAAAATCGCAACGCGAAATAAAAATCGCAACGCGATCCCCAGAATCGCAAATCAGTTTCCAGAATCGCAAATCAGTTTCCAAAATCGCAACGCGATTCTTGAAAATCGCGATGCGATAGTAGAAATTCGCATTGCGATTTTCCATAATCGCAACGCGAATATGAAAATCGCAACGCGAACACATAAATCGCAACGCGTATCCGTAAATCGCAACGTGTATCCGTAAATTGCAACGCGTATGGGTAAATCGCAATGCGTATCCGTATATCGCAACGCGTATCCGTAAATCGCAACGATAATACATAAAATCGCAACGCGTATCCGTAAATCGCAACGCGATATTTAAAGCGCCATTATAATCGCTACGCGTATTTTATTTTCAAATTACAAAAAGAATATTAAGACAAAATCCCGTAATCGCAACTCATAACCTAAAACCTAAAATCACAACTCAGTCCCATCTCCATCTCTCACTCTCTACGGCGAAGAAATCCGTCCCCATCTCCGAAGATTTCCGTCCCCATCTCCGGCGAAATCCCTCACAACCATTCACGGTCAGAAATCCCTCACAATATTCAGAAATGGAAAATCAACCTCCGAGGGTTAGTTTTTTTAATTATTTTTATTTTGAAATGTTTGCATTATTGTAGGTTTTTCATATTGAAACTGATGATAAGTTTACTGGTCATTTCAATAATAGATTAACCATTTCACTTAGATTTCATTTCGCGTTACGATTCTGTCGTTGCGATTTTCATTTCGCGTTGCTATTCTCTCGTTGCGATTTTCAAGTTAGTATTTGTCTTTGTCTTTGTTCTGTCTTTTGGTTGAAGTAATGCAATCCATTCAAGTTTCAATTTGCAGAAGAGTCGCAACGAGATAAATGAAAATCGCAACGAGAGAATGACTGTCGCAACGAGAGAATCGCAACGCGAAATGAAAATCGCAACGAGAGAATCGCAACGCGAAACCAAAATCGCATTGCGATTTTCATTTCGCGTTGCGATTCTCTCGTTGCGATTTTCATTTCGCGTTGCGATTGTCATCTCGCGTTGCGATTCTCTCGTTGCGATTTTCATTTCAACCAAAAGACAAAACAGTGTTGCAAATTTTAGTTTCAAGAATAAACTACTACTTTTTATGTTTATTGTTTTTGGTATATCTTCACAGTGTAGTTTTTGGTATATCTAACTTGGTATGTTTATTGTTTTTGTAGAAATTTTTTTCGGCTCAATTGACCTTGAGAAATAAAGTCAGCCTGGCCACTACAATTGCAAAGAAGCTTTCACCTGCTCAAAGACAATTGTTTGAGGAAACCTGCTTCGGGCCATGGCTGAGAGTACAGCATCCGGGTGGAGATGCTAATTTGACCCATTTGTGGCTTCAGACCATGACATCAAATCTACCCGACAGTATACAACGTGGTGAGGAAGAGATATGGTTTCATTTTCCACCAGCGTATACTTGCTTTGGGCGGAAGGAGTTCTGCTTAATCACTGGTCTACGATTCGGACACGATGATGTAGGCCGGTACACTCGTCATATCGCCCGCCCATCATGGTTATCCCGGGTTTTTCCGGATGAGTCAATGGAGAAGCCGAACCTACATGTCGACGACCTGAAGAAATTATTTAATAAGAAAGCTGGTTTCACTCGGATGGAAGACGTCGATGTTGTCCGAGTATGCCTTCTACTACTTGTGTATGCCGGCTTTTTAGGCAGAGAGGCCAGACAACCTATTCATCGGGAGCTAATAATATTGGTAGAGGACCTGAATGCATGGAATCTGTTTCCGTGGGGTTCGTATATATGGAAAGCTACCTGGACTAAGTTGTCGTCTGCCTTTGATGACCGCAAAAGTTTGCGGGGCGATGGGTCCAAATACACTTTGTCAGGCTTTGTTTGGGCCTTTAAGGTAAGAATTTCTATATAATGTTTCTAAAATTATAATTAATTATTTAACAATTACTAATTTTGTTATTATATT